TAGGCAACAGCCATCTATTATGTCTCTAGCACCCCAAATGTTGCCGCAACTGGGAACCGTCATTCAGTGTCTTCATTCTGGCTTATCCGTGGTCAGTGCTGGCTGAGGAGTTACAGAGTTAAACTTCAGATGGCCGCCCTGCATTGTCTAGTATCATTGGGCCACATCCTTGTTTTTTCCTTCAATGTTTCTCGAGAAACTGCTGCACAGCTACAACTGATGTGACTTGCTGGTCTTCTAAATCTTTCTGTGATTTCTTTTTCAATTTCTGCACTCAAGAATATCAAAATAGATAGGTAAATGCAACAATAGTTGAATTATGGAAAACTAAGGCTTCTTCAATTGAAATGTGTGTGCTGTGGGGCTGGAATTCACAAGTTTAACAGATGTAAATATGCCACAGTTCACTCAGATGTGTCACGTATCATAATTCTTTTACTGTTGTCACAGGAATTGACCTTAAAAGGCTGCAGGGCTTGAAAGCCTTAACCTAGAGTTCCTTTAAGTCTCCTTTTCTTCAGTTTTGTTTTTCTGAACGTACTGAAAAAAATCCATGTGATTATTTTATTACTTTCTGTCTTTGACCTTGGTGATAAACCCTCAGGGTGAAATCTTGGCCCTATTGAAGTCAATGGCAAAACTTCCGTTGACTTTAGTGGGGCCATGATTTTGGCCTTTTTATGCACCATCAGCTTCCATCACTTACTTCAAAATGTACTTAACTATATGGGATGAGAATACCAAGAGTTAATAAAAGCAATTTAAAGACATTCTTTCATAGCTATTCTATTTTATGTTGCTTTTCACCTTTAATAAATTATTCTTAATGTCATATATTTTTTGCTCTGTTTTTTTTTTTCTCAAAATCTTGCAGATTCTTCAGGGGTGGGGCATTTTCCTGTAGTGATTTTGTGCTCTCTTCAGATGCTGCTTATCATGCATAATGGGATGCTTATTGGTTACATTAGGAATTGCAAACAGCATAATTAAATCATGCTCCCACCTCTTATCTAAAACAACAGTTTGGTGCCAATCCCTTGTGCGAAACTGCAGCACAGTTTTTAACTGCTCTAGACATAGCCTTCTGACAAAAACCTGTTCTTCGTTTTCTTTCTCCCAGATCCTACATTCATTCTTCTTTCATACTATTCAATCTCCTCAAGAATGTATCTTTATTTTTTGATATTCACTCGCAAAAAGACCAGAAATAATAGCTGTTCAACAGTTCTACAGTTTTCTCTGTCTGTCCAGATTCATATGCCTGCTGGAAGGGTTATGAAACTTTGCTGCATGTGCCTCTTCAGCACAAAGCTTCTTGAAGACTCATCCTGAAAGGGTAAACCTACCTCCTTCTCACTGGTGGGGCTGCCTGGCATGCAGAAATAAGAAGCTAAAATAGCTTTTGATTATTGTGGTCTGTCAACTTTGTTTAAAAATGTTAATCTGAATAATTAAACAGGTTTCACACAACCGCATTTAAAAAGCTTACTCAGTTTTAATAACACAATCATATGTGCAGCTATAGTGTTCTGCAAAACTCATTTCCATTTCCCTACTGCTGTATAGCTGTAGAATAACACTGTACAAATCCCTATTCTCTGTTCCTTTAACTTTCTGACACATTTTTGTTTGGTCTGAAACTTCACATACTTGGATATGACAAAAAGGTACATTTTTTGTGAAAGAATTAGTTTGGCTTGCTTTCAGCTAGTTGATCCTTTAAAAAATTACATAAAAATAAAGAACAATCTTCAAAGATTAACTCAAAATGGTTAAAGGTGCCACTCCTCATGTCTGGTTTATAGATAGCCAGATGAAAAATTAAAAATTGTTCCGAGTAACTGAGCCCTGGATTTAGCGTATTCCCAAATAAACATTAAAAACAACAACTATTGTTTTAGTTACTGAGTTCTCAGGGGAGTTATGGGTATGCATTAAACTCCATAACTTGACTCCATGGTGCTATAACCAGAGGATTGTATCACACATGTACAGTCTTCACATCTAAACACACCCAAATTTTATCTCAGCTGCTGCACAGTGACAACGAGATGCTCTTCAGTCTCATCTGCCCATGGAAATGTGAGAGACATTTATAGCTCATATAATTTTATTGGAACAGATATCAGCACTGTCTTGAACTTATTGTTCACTGTCCTCTGGGAGTCCCTCACATTAGAAAATTAATTGGGATATGCTGGAAGAGCATCCTGGGAATTCTTTGATTGTTTTAAATCCTGCCCCCAGTCTCCTACCCTCTCAATACTACATCACCTCTGTCACAGACAGGTTCCCTTGATTGCCATAAAAGCAGAGGAGGGGAAAGGAAATTTTAGTGTCTTGAAATGGCTCGATTTGCATGATGTAGGAGGTGAATGTCTTTGTAAGGATCTGTCTAATTCTTTCTTGTGAAGCATTTTAAATGTCCCCACTCTTTTATTAAAACTGCATAAACTGGATGTTCTGGGTACCAAAAACATTTGGTTAGCCCCAATATATCTAGGTATTGCCAAAGTACTGAGAATGTTACCATCAGACTTATGAGCTACTTATTAGCTGCACATGGAACAAAGGCTGGAGGTGATTTGTTCATTATTGCAGCTTTGTGATTCTGGGACCGACAGGACCTGATGCAATCTAGATCTGTTTTAAGAATGTCTGCCAATCCCTATTTCCTCCATACTGGTGATGAAACTGATTGGGTCCTGTAAACACTGGTCCGTGCAGAAATTGTACAGCCGCTGTGGTTTTTTCCAGGCTGCTATGGAGCCTTGTGCTATGTGGTGACACAGTGTTCCTGTGTGGCTCAGTGTATATCCAAAAGCAAAGCAATAAACCTACCCCGCAAAGCCTTTAGTGTATTTGCCAGCTAGCCTCGCCCTGCTGCTTAAGTTAGGGTCTGAGAAAGCGGTTCTGCTTAACTGGAGGCACAAATGAAAGCTCCTACCATTTCCCTGTACGCTCCTGTCTCCAGGCCACACACCTCCAGTTCAAAGGATTTATCGCAAGCTGTGGGGGAAAAATTTGTGGGGGAGCCCTGCTTACATTTCTGACAAAACATCTCTGGAATTAGTCTGGATTTTCACTCATATGGCACATAGGCGAAGAAGTATAAAATAATGTCATGCATATTTCTGAAAGATAAATTTCATCTGCAAAATGAAGACATACAATAAGTATAAAACTTGATGTTTTGTGCTAATTCAACTGTATTTCGCTTCCTTGATCTTTAAGAAATATCTCATTCTATTGCATTTTTCCGTGGGAATTTTGCGATGGTAAAGTCATAGAAACATAGAATCATAGAATGGCATAGGCTGGAAGGGACCTTAGAGATCATCTAATCCAACCTCCTTGTCATGGGCAAGGACACCTCTCAACTAGACCAGGCTACTCAAGGCTCCGTCCAACCTGGCCTTGAACCCCTCCAGGGAGGGGGCATCCACAACTTCTCTGGGTAATTTGTTCCAAAGTCTTACCACCCTTGTACTGAAGAATTTCTTCCTAAAATCTAATCTAAATCTGTTCTCCTTCAACTTAAACCCATTTCCCCTTGTCCTATCAGTGGACACTCTTATAAAAAGTCCCTCCCCAGCCTTCCTGTAGGTTCCCTTCAGGTATTGGAAGGCAGCTATTAGGTCCCCCCGAAGTCTTCTCTTTTCAAGTTCTCTTTTCAATCCCAGCTCCCGCAACCTGTCCTCGTAGCAGCGGTGCTCCAGCCCCTGGATCATCTTTGTGGCCCTCCTCTGAACACGCTCCAACAGATCTATGTATCTCTTACGGTGGGGACACCAGAACTGGACACAGTATTCGAGGTGGGATCTCACAAGAGTAGAGTAATCACCTCTCTTGACCTGCTGACCACGCTTCTCTTGATACATCCCAGGATGCGGTTGGCCTTCTGGGCCGCATGAGCGCACTGCTGGCTCATGTTGAGCTTCTCATCTATAAACACCCTCAAATCCTTCTCTTCAGGGCTACTCTCAACCCACTCTGTGCCCAGTTTGTATTTATGCCTAGGATTGGCCCGACCCAGATGAAGGACCTTGCATTTTGATTTGTTGAAGCTCATGCAGTTAGCACTGGCCCATTTCTCAAGCCTATCAAGGTCCCTCTGGATGGCATCTCTTCCCTCAAGTGAGTCCACGGCACCACACAACTTGGTGTCATCGGCACACTTACTGAGGGTGCACTCAATGCCGTCATCCATGTCACTGACAAAGATGTTGAACAGCACTGGACCCAGAACAGACCCCTGAGGGACACTGGTCTCCATGTAGATATCGCACCATTGACCACAACTCTTTGAGTGCGACCATCCAGCCAGTTCTTTATCCACCGAGTGGTCCATCTGTCAAATCCGTGTCTCTCCATTTTAGAGACAAGGATGTCATGTGGGACAGTGTCAATAAATAAATAACATGAAGTTATTGATGCACATGCATTTAAAATGTCATCTGTGGGAGGCATTGGGAATACTTTCCTCTTCTTTTAGAGACGGATTCATTTTACTGTGAGAGTACAGTACTTATGAAACTCGTGTATTTGTCAGTGTAGTGAAATTCGTATCCTCATCTCAGTGGGACAGTGATTGATACTACTATTCCTACTAAGATACAAAGAAATAATTGCACAAATAATTGCTCACCTATGTCAGTAATTTATAGTCTGGTCAAAATTGATGATGTTATTGTAAAACGTGGTCAAAATGAGAATATCTGGTACAATTTCTTCTGATCTAAGGGAGCTGGGAGACATAACTGATCTGTGTTTACTTAAGAAATGGTAGGAAACAGTTTTGCTTTTCTGCTTCAAAGGCAGTGAAAACTCACCAGCACAGTTAGTCTTGCAAGATATATACTGTCTCACCATAACAGTGGTTGTGTGCTAGCTCAGTGTTCCACCTTTATACACACTGCTGCATAGCTGAAGGAAAATTCAGTACCTCTAAAACTCTTAGGAGAAATCTCTGAAGAAAGATCATACGGTTGTGCAAGTACCTAAATGATTTAAATCCTGGTGAAGTAAGTTTTTCAGAGGTTGCCTTATATTGATAAATTCTCAGGAAAAAAAATACTTCAAAATATATATTTTTCACATAAGCTTGCAATAAATGTTTCAATTTTGATGCTAGTAGTGATAGAATTGTGTAGTTCCCAGTGTTTCAGGAATAAACTTGCAGAGAAGTTCAAGTGAGTTCCAGTATGGGCTGCATTGTGGAGTACTGAAGAGTTTGTTTCTGCGTATGTCTCAAGTGACACTTTTCTAGTAATAATGTGTTCTTGAATCCAAAGTGACTAAGGTAGGATTTCTGTTTGTGCATGGCAGGAATGATACGCCTCTCTGAGACCAAATTCTACTGACTTTTCTGAAACTCTCTCATGAATCTGATTCTCTCCATTAATTTGAACTCTGTTTGCACATTAGGTAGAAGCAAGGGAATTACATTTCTCTGAGATGAAAGGCATTAGTAAAATTAAGACAATGCTTATACTTTGCATTTCATAGGTACATATTTTATCATTTTTTTCAGTTGTAGCATCGTTTTGGTCAAAAAAAGAAGAGTGCTTCCCATTTAAGGTTCCACAAGCATCATCTGGTTTTGTCTATTTAGATAAAGTCAGCTACATGTCCTTATGATAAGAGAGCACTGGAACCTGAAAAGTTGTAGATGTTTTCTGGTAGTCACAGGGCTGGCTTTAAGTCAATAATAACAATTTTTACAGTCCCAAATGGCTTTGGACCTATCAATATCTTGGAGACACTTCTTTTTTTGATGCTGCAGATTTATTAGCAGAGGTGTTCATTTCCTTTTGCTTTGAACAAAAGGCAGTTTTTCTGCTAAAATGTTGATAAGTCCACCAGGTTCAGGAATCAGTGCATTCTTGCACCCTCTTTGGTTGGCAATATGTCCAGTTTTTTTGACTTTGAAAGTATATAACATTGGAAGTTCCCAAGTTTCATAGTGAAAGAAAAATACACCTGTACTATATATTTGGTATGAAGGCATCCCATAGCCGTCTAGTATTTTGTTTGTTTCTTGAGGGAGAAGTGCCTAGTGTGTTGGTTTTGAGGGTATTACTCATTGCTAATATTATTTAGATCCAAGGTGCGTGCTTGAGCTGCAGGAACATGCCCATGCCACACACATCTAGAGAGAAACAATTACTAAAAAATACTAGGTCCAACTCCATTTTAGGAGTTATGCTGTTGTAATTTTTCTCTTGACACGGGAACACAGGAGCTGCTGTCACCAGCAGCCTGTAGCCTGGCAATAAGCTGCATAAGAATTTAGGAGGATGGTGTAAACTAAGGCTATGGGATATCAAAGTAACGTGATACAGATTTTATTTGGCTGTGCGAAGACTTAGGCCAAGTCTTGTAGGGGAAAACCCAAAGAGTTGGTTCAATCTGAACTTTTATTCCTCAGGAAGCTAAAGAAGCTCTTCAGGAAGCTGAAGGATGAAAGAACTGAGCCAAAGGAAACGGACACCAACCAGTCAAAGGACCCTCAGCAATGGGATCTTGACTACATCTTGGAACCTTTCACTGGTCTGACTCCAGAATACATGGAAATGAGTAAGTTTCCTGAATTCCTTTTCTCTTTCTGCAATAACCATAGTTTTACACAGGACTAATCACCGTATATCATGTGACTGTATGGCATAACTTGGCATGATAAAGGGGGAAAAACCCAAAACACTTGTAGCTTTGCAAAATTACATGCAAGACAGCAGGGCTATGAGCCTACCACATTACCAGCATAGCAACAATGATGAGTCCTAGTATTTGCTAATACTTATACTGTGAGAGTCCAGGGTTCCCAGCTGAGAACAGTGCATATAAATCATACAGCCACAGAATTACAGAATAGCTAATGTTGGAAGGGACCTCCAGAGGTCACCTAGTCCAACCCCCTGCTGAAAGCAGGATCAGCTAGAGCAGGCTGCTCAGGGACTTGTCCAGTTGTCCAGTTGAGTTTTGAATATTTCCAGGGATGGAGACTCTACAATCTTTCTGTGCAACCTGTTCCAGTATTTGAGCACCCTTACAGTAAAAACGTTTTTTTCTTATGTTTAAATATCTTTTCCTATATTTCAATGTGTGCCCATCACCTCTTGTCCTTTTGCTGGACACCCTTGAGAAGAGTCTGGCTCTGTCTTCTCTAATCCTTCCAGGTGATATTTGAAACATATTGGTAAGATCCCCCAAAGCCTTCTTTTCCTGTGATACAACAATCTCAGCTCTCTTAACTTCTTGTATGTCAAATCCTCCAATTTCTTAATCATCTTAGTGGCTCCTCACTGGATTCACTGCAGTATGTCCATGTCTTGCTTGTACAGGGGAGCACAGAACTGAAAAGAGCACTCCAGGTGCGGTCACAGTAGTGCTGAGTAGAGGGGAAGGATCCCCTTTCTCGACCTGCTGGCAGTGCTCTTCCTAATGTACCCTGGAAGGCTATTGACCTTCTTTGTAGCTATGGCACATTGCTGGTTCCTGTTCAACATGCTGTTCACCAGGATGCCTAGGCTCTTTTCTACAAAGTTGCTTCCCAGCTAGTCAGTTCCTAGCATCTACTAGTGCTTGTGGTTATTCCTCCCCAGGTGCAAGACTTTACACTTTCCTTTGTTGAACTTTGGGAAATTCCTCTTGGACCATTTCTCCAGCTTGTTGAGGTCCTTCTCAATGGCAGAACAACCATCTGGTGTAACTCCTCCCAAAATGATAATTTCTCATTAATGTTTCAAATGGCATAAAAATATGTAGATTCCAAAATATAAATGTGTATTTTCTCATGGAAGTAAATTATCCTTCACAACAGAAAACTGTAGAAATATCTTTTTAGATGTCTTAGATCATGACTGAATGCTGCATGATGTTGAATCAGGAACACAGCATTCCCAGCTATGCTTAAAGTAAAATCGACATGCTTACACAACAGGAAAGAACCTTCAGCCTATGAGAGCTTCTCGTTCAGCTGAAAGAGACAATGGAATGGAGAACTGTTATTCCCATTTTACTCATGGAGCTGTGGCATGCAGGCATTGAGGGGGTCACACTTTCTAAGGAAGTCTAGAACATGCTTGGGAATTATTTTCCCAGTCTCCCACCTTTCATACCAGTTCTTTAACGAGCAGTCTCTAGTTTTTTGAGTAGCATGTGCATACTTCCTCTGCATGTATCACCCTGCTGAAGTGACTGACATCACTAGTGGTATGCACTGCCAGACATTTGGTCATCTTTCAAACCTGTGTAAAGTAGGAGCAACTCTGTCAAAGTCAGCAGTTTTCTAACTTTGAAAGGCTGGTGCCCACCATGTGTGTATTGTCCATGCGTGCATATGCGCTTGCTGTTTTTTGCAATTACTTAAATTGCTGCTAAACTATGGCAGAGATCAGCACTTTTTCAAGGTTGCGCTACAGTTTGCTTTGCCACATTGGAGGAGAGAAGTAGGTTGGTGCAAATCCAGATGGAACTGGGAGCAATTCTTTCTTGAAGTGGCAAGGTGTCACCAGTTACATATTTGGTAACCACACCATCAGGGAGACAGCAGTTCCTGATTTCCACTAGGTGGGATCTAGGACCTGGATCTGCGCTTCACAGAAATACGCCTCTCAAGATGCAATGTCTATCAGAGTGGAACTGTATGCGCTTTTTATTATCTGCAAATGTAGATTGCTGATACCTTAGGGACTTGATCCATCATTTGCATATCATTAAAAGACACTCTGATTTAGGATCTGAGGTCAGTATATTCACTGTAAGTCATTTGAGACACAACATTAGAGCGTTTTCTGCTATCTGGAAGTCAAGAGTCAAGAAATAAACTTTAAAGCACTGAGTTTGTTCAAATAAAATATCATTAATAATTTATTTTCATTTTAACATGTTTGGCACTGTGCCATTGTCCTCATTAGTTATAATTTGGAAGTCTGGTCCCTTTGGCATCTTGACTGCACTTTCTCGAGAGAAAACGTAACTCCATTGTCCAAAGTTGTGCTGATACTTATAAAATCATGTTCAAAATTCTGAGTACAGTATCTGGTCTGTATAAGTGGATTCGGAGAGTAAATCCAACAACTAGGCATTTTTGGTATAATTCTGCTTGGTAAAGCATCCTCTGCTGATTTCACTGAGATTGTTTGATCGCATTCATCTCCATGCATCCACATACACTCATCAACTGCTCCAGCAGGAACAGGTCAAGCGTTGGGATAAAGGAGTACGGTACAGATGAATTAGCCAAGGACAAATATAAAGCATCTGATGGAGAATTCCAAAGTGAAATATATACATGCCTTCTTTCTCATTCTAAAGTGTGTTTGTTATAAACTCCAAAGAGTATCTCTATGACTTAACTGAACCCAGGAGGACAAAGGTGCAAATAGTCGTCAAATAACTCAGTCCTGCATCCCTGAGACACAATCCTCAGGGAAATAAACCTGAGAGGAAGCAGCACACAGGGATGCTAGGGAGTAAGTGAGAATCCAAGCTCTTCACACTAGATGCAAATGAAAATTGCAGTGTATCCTTCAGCCCTGTAGCTACCTCATGAGTAGACCCTTGAGAGGCAGGGGAGGAGAAAGAGGGAATGATATGGGTGGGGGAGGAGGAAGAAGAGATATAATCTAGGCAAACCCAAGCTTTAGGGCATAAAAGTGTTCAGGAGAGAACCACAGCTTGTCAATGGGCCTGTTATCTAACTCCAGACATCTGTTAAATATTGTATGTGACAACTTCTGTTTTAACAAGCCACTATTCTCAAAACATCTGAAAGAGAATGCATTTTATGACAAAAAAAAAGTGAACACCATGTATGATTTATCTATATATATAAAAATAACTATATTGATTTTTAGATACAATATATAATATATTTATAAATGCATATATGGGATTTTATATAGTGGTGGATTTATGTAAATACATACATATGTAAGGGTATATGAGGTACTTCATGTAATGGCAGATTTGGGGATCTCTTTTATGGATATGTTTATAGATCTGAACCTTGCCCTCTATAGTGCCATTAAGTTGACAAAAATAAGTCCTCACCTACCATCATCTCTCTCTCAGTTGTTTCAACTCACCGTAGGATCTGGCTGTGTGTTGCAGTCTCTGCTACCTTATCTCTTTCTGCATGTGATGAGACTTTGTTGAAAATTTCTCCTTTAGAATTTATTTTTTCTACTCATTACTTCAGCCCAAGATGATTTTTCTTCCTGGAAATTTATAGCACACTTCTTTGCAACTTTTTGAGCTAAACAATGGTGAAAAAATATAGACATTTCCCCTTGTAAACATTTTCATATGTTTTTGTGCTCAGGCATAACTCAGAAATGTCTGCACTTTAACATCCAAAATTTCCTTGCTAGCTAGTTCTCTCTAAGGACAAGGACGTTTAGTTATTGGTAATAAACAGACAGAATAAATACAACTGTTTATAAATATTTAATTTCTTGTCTTTGCACATCTGTGGTAGTTGATCTTATTCATGCTACGAGCTAGAGCACAGGATCAGTTGCAGCATGAATGGGTAGTTACAGTGAATGCCACCAGCAGGGTAAGGAGGAGCCAGACTTCTCCCCAGTTATGAGTACACTCTGTGATAACCGAGAAGTGTGTTTGATACAGAAGCAGGATGGAGCCTTGAGTGTGTTATTAACTAGAATATCCAACTTTCCAAACATATACTGGTCCTAATGCAAAGCGTCCAGGTGTGGGCAGAAACTCTTTCAACTCTGTTACCTGTGGCAAATCCCCATTGCATCTGAGATGATGCCGTCACCCTGATTCGAGATGTCTGTGCAGGAGATCACCCTTGATTCATTGATGAGGACACCGCTTAGATGCAAAGGTCTGCCTTGTTGGAATAACTCATCCTATCTGGGTCTCAGCTATAAATCTTATATATATAAGCTTATATGTTATAAATCACTGGTCACTGAGCCTGTATTTTAGATTAGTCCCTTGTGCATAGATGACAAACAACGTTGAGTGCCTCATCCTGCAGTCATTCAGAGATAATTAGATAGGTGCCCTGCAAATGAGCGGATGACTTACTAATCTAAACAATTGTTTAGAACAGGAGAATTAGCTTCTCAAGTGAAGAGAATAGCTCACTGAGCCTTGTAGTGTGCCACAGCGAGCTATGCCCTACCCGTGGGATTCAAGACAAATGCGCAGCAGATGAAACCCAAGCTGCACCTCCCCAGCCCGCTTGTTGCCCCGGGTCCATATCACGGCACTCAGCTGTCAGATTCACTGCGGAGTGACTCAGACCACCCACGCTGACAGGAAGCACTTTGTGCAGCTCAGCGCTGAACCTGTCATCTGGGATTGTTGTGAAGGGCATCTAGCTGGAATGGCGAGGCAAGAGGCTGTTGCGCAGCTTGTTTACCTGTTTTTCTAAATTTGATTTGAGAGGGGGAGGGAAGAGAAACAACGCAGCAAGTGCAGAGGAAGCATTTTTTTTTCACTTGAATTGCTTAAAAAGGCAGAATGACTAGGATGTAAGAAGAGGTATGATATTAAGCAGAAGAGAGAAATCTGACTGCTGTTTCAGAACTTAATTCTTA